TTGCAATTGATTGTGTAATTGGGTTTGATTGTGGTTTAAATTGTTGGGGGAATGTTGGGGCTGTTTTCCGTCACCTTCTCCGGCGACGCGCCGGGGGCGTTCGGCAGTAGGCCGGCCGGGTTCCAAGCAGTGGCTTGGCGATGGTGCTATGGTTCAATTGAGCTCACTTGGAACCAATTGGGTCCAATTGGGTTCAATCGGGTCCAATTGGGTTCAATTGGGTCCAAACGGGTTCAATCGGGTTCAATTGGGCTATTTAGATTCAATTGGGTGCAATTGGATAAGTTGGGACTATTTTGGGTTAATTGATGTACTGTTCGGGTGTTTCTGAATCGCCCAACAGGGCTGTTTGGCCTTGCTTCGGGTTCGGGCAGCCGGGGTGGCTACCGGTGGGGGTGCCAGGGTTGTTCCGGCGACGATGGGACTGTTCCGGCAGGGGCAGCGGGCCGGAGGATCGATTCCTTGGGTTCAATTCCGCGCAGGTAAGTTTGATTAATTGTAATTTGGGTTTGTTGATTATGCATGTGGGTCTGTTGATTATGCATGACGCTACGTGATTTGTTGTAAATTTGTGAACTAATGTTAAATTAAATTAATCTTATTGGTGAATATTGTGGATTATGCATAATGTATGAGAAATAGGCCACCTAGTATAATTAGGCGGACCTGAATTGGATTGACTGTCACCAATAGGATATGGTTAGGACATTGGCCATTGCGGGGCGTCGTCGCACCCCCGGTGGTCTTGGGTTAAAAACGTACGTACGGAAGTCCGCGACCTGTCCTGGCATCGCAGAGACAGGGGCTTCAACCCGCCCAAAGTGAATCTCCTTTGGGTTTCTGAGCTGGCCCTTTTATAGCATCGCTTGGGGTGCCATGACTCAAAGTAGTTGATGTGGAATAAAATTAGGACATGATGTTCAAATGGAAGGTGTTAACATAAATATGTTTATTTAAGCTATTTTTCTCCGTGATCACATGCTGTTGTTGATTGTATGTTAATGTGGTACTATTCTGTGAGTTGATGCTGGCTTAGGTATATTTTCACTCAGCGTTTCGCTGAGCGTGTAGTCGTTGTTGTTTGACTGCACGTAGGTAGGAACACAGATTTGGATGGGCAACCCGGAGGGCAGTGAAGTGGTGGTGTGGCGTGGATGGCTCTTGTTTACTTTAATAATTAAAGTACATTATTTTATTTGATTATATGGACTGTTGGTCATTACTTTGGTTTTCTTATGCTTCCGCGACATTTGGATTTATTTAATCACTCCAATGAACTATGGTTTCGTTTACTCTCTCTTTGAATGAATTTTTATAATTTATCTGATGGTTTAATTAACAAAATTATGCATGCGAATACCAACTTAGTAACAACCCGATTCGCTAACCCGCTGGTTCGGGTTACGCGGGTTGGGGTGTTACATTTTGGTATCAGAGAATGTGGTTTTAAAAACGATTCTTTGCCAAAATAATTAAACTTATATTTAATAAAAAAATCTTTTTGTTTTTAAAAAAAAATTATCAATTTTGAAAAAAAAAACTATTTTGAAAAAAAAACTAATATTTTAACACGTATTGTATATACATGTGTCGAGCATCCACAGCTTCACTACGTCACTGTTCCAGGAGGTAACTCTGAATCCTTATTGTTGCTCATGTGATAATTATTTGTTGTCTTTAATATTTAGTTATTGGTTGGTTTATTAAGTTGTATAAAGAAATACTTATGTGTATTGAATTTGGAGGTGAATCTTAAATTAAGGCGTATTTGGGTGAGAAAAAAAAAGTGGATTTTGATATCTCTAATATCAAAGTCCTAATTTTGGGTTGGTGAACTAAAAAGAAATTTAATTTTGAAAGCTAGAGATACGGGAAATTTCCAACCTTAATTCACTGCTATCGAAAACGAGAAAGACATTGTTATCAAAATCGAAGGAGATGAAGATGGGAAAATTCTATCTCAACACATCAAAATCCTCTTATATTCGCATCCAACTCTATGTCTCCTTCCCATGGGGCAACGCGAAAGTCCTGTTTCTAGCACCTGATCCGGATCATCGACAAAGACGACGGAGGAATATGTTTTCTATTCATAACCCATGCTCACTGTTTAGTTTCCTATACGTTCCTCTGCAAAAAAAATTTGGTGAAGTCCTCAGCGGTGGATTGGTCACTGTTTTGCTACAATTCATAATCACAATATATATACATAGTATATGTCTCTCTCACCAAACACCTTCCAATCAGATTTCAAAACTCATATCATCTCCTCTCAAATTTAAAAAAAAAACTCATGTCCTATCACATCTTCAAAACTCACCAAACGAGCCTAAGTCATAATCCACAACTATCCATGACGACTAGTGCGATCATGTTATTATATTAATAATTGTGAGAAAGAATATATTATATTACATGTTGATAACATGTGTAAGAGTTAAAAAAACATAGTCACAGTTGAAAATTTCAACCACCGGAGTCGGATTTAACACGCTGGTAGTTGGTTCGTATAAAGAATGTAAATATGAGAGGAAAACAAAGGTGTTATAAAAGAATGTAGATATGAACTTAGCTGCCCGGTGCCAACTTGAGGGAAATGGATAACTCACAAATTATCCTCAAAGTTGATTTTGATTAATTCTAGAACAAATTTGTTGTGTTGAGACTCTCAAAAGATAATTAGCTTCCTCAAAATTGTAGCATCACACCACCAAAGACTTATTAGTGCTTAGTATTGAAATACAAGGTGGCTCAATAGTATGGGATGAACCACACAACGTAAATATTCTAGAAGAGAATAACACGATATGTACCAATTCGCCAATTTTATATACCGAAAAAGAACATCTCACAGTTGAAGATTTATAACTACCACCATGTTGTAAAGTATATGTAAAACCTGATGTCTAGGACGAAATGTTCCCAACAAATATTTGTTGAACGAAGAAAATGAAAACAAATATTATGGGTTGAATCATTAGGATTTCATTGGAATTAACTCTAAACTAAAGTATTTTGGTGAATACACATAACTTGAAGCAAATGAAAAAAAATATAAATTATAAGCTACTTAATGAACTTACGCAGCTATTAATAAATATCATATTAAGCAGTGGTTCACAAGAAAGAATTTTTGAATAAGACAGTTTTGCGAGTAGTTACCATATATTAAAAAATAATTACCATATATTTAGGCTATGTGAGAGATTACTAATTAATAAGTTATCTTTAGAAAAATATATGTATAATATATAAGTGAATTGGACTGACGTTAGATTAAATTTGAAGAAAGTAGCTTCTAAAGGTTACTCTTAAGGAATTTAAAAATTATGATACTTTTAATGAGATTAATTTTCTAACAACTTATTAATTAATACAAAAACAAATTGTGGATATGAATCAATTAAACGAGGGTTGCTCGAGAAAAAAATGTTGCAAAGGGGTTTCAACTACGCTCTTTTAAATTGGTGATGATAATATTTTAAGTGGTAAGTGACTCTGCAATATATATATATATATATATATATATATATATATATATATATATATATATATATATATATATATATATATATATATATATAAAGTAACTTCAAGAAATAATTTCAGGTAAGTTCGAAATTTAAATTTGTTCAATCCATGTGAGAAAATGGTATATTGTAGCACTAAGGTAAGGTGTGAAATTGGTGGCCTAGTGGCATCATTAAAAAAAACTTTATCTAGTATTCAATTGAATCGCTGAATACTGAAATGACAACGAAATTCAGAAGGGGCTGCAGACTCGGACGAATGAGGGTGGTTTATTTCAGTGTCAGGCGAGGATGACAATATGAGGTAATGGGTAACAAAAGAAAAAAAACAATACATTTCCTCTTTACAAAAAGGAGGTTAAGAAGTAAAGTTTGTAAAAGGTTATCTTATTCAAGGTAAATTATTACCTTCATAAAAATAATTATTTTAAGATTGGGTGTTAATCCCTTAGATAAGAGGCGTAGTGATTGTTGAAACACGGGCATGTCACGTTTTCGTACTAAAGCCGTGTTTGTTTTTATGACAGGTTTTGATAATGCCAAACCGCCGTGATCAAGTCAAACTTTGAATATACAAGGCGAAGAAGGAAGACAAGAACAAGAGCTAAAAGAAGACCAAGAACGAAGACCAAGACCGACCCAACCTTTACACCTTGGCTCTTTAGGCCAAAAAAAAACCTTCATTGCACTTCTTAAATCATAAAAATGCTTTTCAAACATGTTTAAGTCATTAAAAACACTTGGTGTTCGCCCAAACCAAAAACCAAGCCATCCAGCGTTCGAGTTTCGGAAACTGGCGTTCGGCTCTCGGTTATCGGTTATGGTTTTTGGCGTCCAAACCAACCAAGTGGTTTTCAACTTTTTATGATTGGTTTTTACTCTTTGGCATGTTTAAACAGTTCTCCAACAAAAACACCTTGAAAACCATCTCTCGCTTTTGGTCGTTTTACAAAAATCATTCAAAACGGCATAAAACTTGGCTAGCCGTGGTTTTCACTTAAATGACGTGGTTTTTAAAGTGTCTTACTCGATTTATTAGCCAAATACATCAAATAAGTGTTTTAAACTCTTGGTTTTTATTTTGGAGAACTTTGAATTTTTCGGTC